ACCTTCTTTTCAACCAGTTAGCGTTTAACCAGTCAAAAGGTCTGTTTCTCCAACAAATCCAACATTTGACATCCCAGTCACACTAAAACTCACGGTGATACCTTCATGGGCTGGCCGGTACGGACACCAGGAGATCTCCTCCATGCCCAAGAATGTGGCTGTTCAAAATGGTTAGCGTGGGTTGTCAGTTGAAGCTGGAGGAGAGGTTAGGTATGTGGAGCTCTCTCTGCCTCTCATTGAATGTGTTGTTCATGGAGATAGAGCTTCTAGAGGAATAAAACGGTGATTATTTTTTCGAGCACGTATTAAACAGTTGTTGCCTTTGGTGATCACTTCTTCCTAACATGTTAGGCATATATTTTGAAGGGGGTGCGGTGTTGGGATAATCCAAAAGTGACCGCGTTTTTACCACCAACAATAAATACCTTTCGGTTTTTGTGCAACCAGACGGTTCGATAACAGAATTACTAAGGAAATCGTCAAAAGCAATGCTCGTTCTGTTCCTAGCTCTTTTCCCTATTCTCTTTTTATTTTCTATTTAATTTTTCAGCTGATATTATTCCCCGAGATCCCCGCGACTGTCCGTTGCCAAATATGCAACATCTTCGATCCCAAGACGTATTCTAACTGCCAACTGCCGCCCGTCCCTACATCCCAACGATCCGGCATGGATATTTGAGTACCTACATTAGGCATATGTATGCGTACAGGTATAGATATCCATGGATTTATCTCACCGTACATTCGAACGACCCGTGGATTACCCTTCAAAAAACGGCGAGGATGTGTTCGCTGAATCACCCATCAGCTCAGGCACCAAATCAGAGACAGCGAAGCTAATCATCCAGTGACTCAGGTCCAATATCTAGTCCCATGCAAACACATGAAAAAGACATCTCAAAAATTTTCCGAGCCATCCACAGTTGGCCGTGACTGGCTGTGCGATGGAGTTAGGTCACGAATGACAATGGATATAATAAGTACTATCCTCGGGTAATTTGCCCCTTTTGAAAATTACTCTATCTTGTTTCTTTCACTTCTCCATTTCCATTCTTATTGATTTCGGCGTATAACCTTCATTTATTCTTTGGTGAGGGAAGATGGTCCCTGGTGCTCATTGACGATTGTACCTGGTAGACCAGAACCGACAGTGCAACACAATAAAATGCTTGAACCTTTCTGTCACTCCCAATCAGCGTGCTCCCTACGAAGACTGCATTCTTGCTTCTGCAGTGGGCATACGAACACGCATCTATCTGCATCTCTTTCGCCGCCACCATTTTCCGTTTGGGCCCTTTGCCGCAAATCCGTACGTACTGTGAGGTCACTTACATATTCAGGGTCCACTGGATTCCTCGCCTATCGTCTCTTCTATTTTCCGCAAGCAAGTTGACGAAGAGATTTTTTCCCAGGCACAGCCGGCATCTACAAAAGAGCTTTTGCTTCCAAGGCAGCCAGCCAATTTGTCGATCGGCTCTTCTCCCAGTATTGGCGCTCCCAGAGTGTGCTCTCCAGCCTCGTAGAATGTTCTTTGTTCTCAACTCCTCCTTTCCCCCGGGTGGGTGATCCCTTTGATGAGCTTTGCAAAGCGCTTCTAGATCCATTCCAATGCCTCTCTTCTGCGTAGATCTTACCTAATGGGGGTATTCACTGGCTACGTGGTTAGTTACCCTAGGTCCCGTACTGTGTACGGATGTATGTACAGAACATATGGAAATCCCCACAATC